TTGTTTGGCGGGCCTGGGCTGGATTTGAACCTGTCACCCTAGGTGTATGTGGCTGGTGCCCCAGCGGCTTGAGCCACAGTTTTTGTTTTTTGAGACAGAATCTCACTCTGTTATCCGGGCAAGCTAGAGTGCCATGATGTCATTGTAGCTCACAGCAACCTCAAACTCCTGGGCTCAAAGCAATCCTCCTGCCTCAGCCTCCCGAGTAGCTGGGACTACAGGTGCTCACCATGATGCCGGCTAGTTTTTCTATTTTTAGTAGAAATGGGGTTTCTCTCTGGCTCAGGCTGGTCTTTAGCTCCTGAGCTCAAGCAAACCTCCTGCCTTGGCCTCCCCAAATTCTAGAATTATAGGCATGAGCCACCGTGCCTAGCCTTTCAACTGGTCTCTGTTTGAAAGCCCTCTAAGGGTTCCTGTTGGGACCAGGATAGGGCCTAAGTGACACCCTGTCCTGCCTCCCTGTTCCTGCAGATCAGCCTGCCTCTGGCCTCCCCTTCCAGTCAACCCTGAGCATCCTTCTTCCCCTCCTCCATGATTCCCTTTCAGGGATGCCTTCTCTGACCTCCTACCCTTCACGTCGCTGTGTCCCCAGGTCCAGACTTACTTCTTCTTTTTTTTTTTTTTTTTGTAGAGACAGAGTCTCACTTTGTTGCCCATGGTAGAGTGCAGTGGCGTCACACTTCTCACAGCAACCTCCAACTCCTGGGCTTAGGTGATTCTCTTGCCTCAGCTCTCCCGAGTAGCTGGGACTAAAGGTGCCTGCCATAACGCTCGGCTATTTTTTTGTTGCAGATCGGCCGGGGCCAGGTTTGAACCCACCATCCTCAGTATATGGGGCTGGCACCCCACTCAATGAGCCACAGGAGCCGCCCCCAGACTTACTTCTTCATGGCACATATCAGCTGAAATTCCTGGCTTATTAGTGTGTGCATATGACTGTTCACCTTATTTATGTGCTTACTATTTGTCCTTTGGGGTGGGGTTACTGTCAGTACCCCTCACTCAGATAGGGAGGCACTGGGGGGCTCAGTGCTGATGAATAATCATCTCATTAATGGGGAGGCAGGGTGCCTCAGGAAGGGGCTTCAGTATGAGATACTGTGCAGCCCCCACCCTCCCAAGTCTTTTTACAGAGTCAAGTTCATGCTGGGGAGACATCTAGCATGTGCCTTCCCTCTGTTGGGCACCCCCTCCCCCACTGTGTTTACAGCCTGCTCTGGGCACAGGGTGGCCTGCAGATGTGGGGATGGCCTCACTGCTCTGGATGAGACCAATGTCCTTGTACCCACTGCACAGGTGACCTCTCTGCCTTCTCTCCCTGGAGCTACTTTCCAGACACACTAAGCCCTAATGACCTTGGCCAAAGGCAGATACCTTTCCTCTAAGCCTATTATCTGTGGGGGGAGACTCCTAATCTCCCAGGGAGCTGTTGTAAGCCCCACACTCTGCCATAAGGTTCTGACGCTAAACACATGGCATAGGCAGGAGGGGCTGCCCCCACCACTGGATGCCCTAGGAACCCTTTCCTGCCCCCTGGTCTTGTGGGCTAGGATGCCTGGGCCAACCAAGGTCTCCAGCCCTAAGACTGTTCAGGAGACAAGTATAGGTGGACCCATTCCAGGGAGGAGGCTCTGTAGTGGGTATTGGGACACCTGGGATGGGGGAGACCCTCCCATGCTGCCTTTCCTCCCTAATGTTTAGTCTCTGTCCCAGCTCTACCCTGGGAGGAACCAGGTCTCAGGAGCCCAGTGGTCCTGACTGTTCAGACCCCACTACACCCACCCCACACATCCCAGATGGTTTAGTTTCTACAACCCTGGCTGTGGCTCCCTGTGGGCAGCTGTGGGCCCTGATGGTTTTCTTACCATCAGATGCTATCCACATGGAAACTGCTGCCCAAGCTTTCTTGGCCCTGGCCATCATTAAATTGGTACCTACTCAAGTTAGTTGAGAGTGTGTGGACCTCAGCCACAGTAGGGCTCTCACCTCTAGCCAGATGGCAGGTGCTCACTAACACACCCAGGGAAGCGGCTGCCAGTAAAGGCAGTAGGAACAATCACTACTCACCAAGTGCTGGAGCAGGTCTCAAGTAGTGATAGTGTGAGTGGCTGGACCTCCCTCAGCAGGGAGCTGGCCCAGGCCTTTATCCCTCTGCTGGTGAGCTGATTAGGATGCTTGTCTCTGATGCTGGGCTAATGAGATTGGTGGGCCCCAAGGGAGGGCACTACTGCTAAGGGTTCTGGGAGTGGGGAGAAGCGGCTCAGGTGCAGTCAAGAACCTGAAGCAAGGACACATGGCAGATGGGGTGGGACATGGAAGAGAAGTGTGATCTAGACAAAGAGAAAGAGCCCTGGCTGCCATCTGGGGCCACCCCCTCCCTTTCATCCCCCTGATCTCTGAAGATCCTTCCTTTCTTTTTTTTGTAGAGACAGAGTCTCACTTTTTCGCCCTCGGTAGAGTGCAGTGGAGTCGCTCCAGCAACCTCCAACTCCTGGGCTTAGGCGATTCTTCTGCCTCAGCCTCCCAAGTAGCTGAGACTACAGGCGCCCACCACAATGCCCGGCTATTTTTT